GAGAGAGAGAGAGAGAGAGAGAGAGAGAGAGAGAGAGAGAGAAAGAGAGAGAACAAAATCAAATGAATCTACCGCTAGAACATGGAAATATACATTGCGCACATGCGCGGAGCACACCAGACGTGCGCAGCGGAGCGCGCACTGCGCACCCAGATGCGTGGCGCGCGCACCCTGGGTCCGCGCACAGTGCCGGTGCGCCGCAAGTACGGAACAAACTGAATGAATAACAATAAGCAAACAATGAAAAACGAGTGCCACCCATGATCCTTGAGCAGCTACCGCTGCAGCGCTCTGGCATGTGCCTGAAGTGAATAGCGTGGGTCAGCTGGTCGTTTGGCGAGGCAGCGAATCCCCCCCATTGAACCGGATCTGGCCATGAAAATACCCACGAAGACCGATGTTATGCTGGGGAAATCATGCGGCCTTTGTTTTCCTTCCATGGTGCCTGCCTCTCGCATATGACCACCGTCTTCACCGGAATAGAACACCCAGTCATTATAGCCGTATTTGGTGCAACTTCAGTCCAGATACAGCAATATTGACCGGGCGTTCTCTTCGGGTTCCGCCACTGATCAGCCTCTGCTTCTTGCATCCAGCACCCTCCACCCTCCCTCTACTAATCCACTTCGCCCTGATCGCTCCCCCACTCCAATGACAATGATCCACCCTCTGATCATTTGATGGAACTCGTGACATCATCTCTCTTCAGAATGCATGCCAGAGACAATGGAGTTCAACACCGCTACAGTGGCTGACAGAGACTATCAAGACCGGAATGAACGCCCCCTGCTGTGCAATCTGCAGAATCAAATGATCTCATAGTGCTATAGCGAGGCCACTGGGCGTACTCTGCCATCAATGCGTGTGTACCTTACAATCGCAAACCGTATACTGTTTCTGATTTTGTGGACATTGTCTGGTGTATAGAAGAGGAGCACCGTGCTCTGTGCCCAGAGGATGACAGTATTGTGGCCGGCCTGAACGTGAAGTACAGTCTATGGCATTAATGGGAAGACGACTTCAACTCCAGCCTGCTCTGCCGAATTGTATGCCTGCCATGGACCCAAATATTTGTGCATACAGTTTTGTGCCTGGGTTATTTCAGTGCTGTTACCTGTTGGTGAATAATTCATGAACCTGTGAGATAATTGCAGTAGGGTGCACTCGTTGGGAAGTAATTACGTCTTACTATCACGAGTGGCAGAGTCACACTCAGTCTGGCTGGCGAAGCAGGAACAGTACACTCGTAAGCTCTACAGCCTCCGGAGAATCTGGCCGACCCTCCCCCTCCCCTGAACATGGCCAGACTGCATCCCTTACCTGTATGTGCAGATCGGACAGAATCTGCCGCGGATAGTGACGGGGCCCTTAAGAGAACGGTGGCTTTGACATGCCGTTGTGTCTCAATGCAGTCACAGGTGAGTTAGCATGCACAGGATACAATCTCTGCGCTCAACACTATGAACGGAGGGAGGTCACCCTAAGCCGCTGCCAGGAAAACTGTGACCCTTTNAGAGAGAGAGAGAGAGAGAGAGAGAGAGAGAGAGAGAGAGAGAGAGAGAGAGAGAGAGAGAGAGAGAGAGAGAGAGAGAGAGAGAGGGCTGTTTGTGTCTCTCTCTGTGATCTCTGCTCTCTCAGAGTCTCTCTCCCTTTCCCTTTGTGCACTGCGCTCTGTTATGCTCTCTCTCTCTCTCTCTCTCTCTCTCTCTCGTACTGAGCTGTGCTTCTCTCCCTGTGCTGTGCTGTGCTTCACCCCCCCCGCACTGAGCTGTGCTTCTCTCCCCTTCTTTCCCTCTCTCTCTGTACTTGTTTGGGTATTCACACCAATATTTCAACTCTCTGACCCACTGATTGCGGTTCCAACAATACCCCTTTTCGTTTTGAAAAAAGCTGTCTTCTCCTCATTGGGGGACAGCTGTATTCACCAGAGTATTTTCTTCTCTTGCCATTTTTCCACCTCACACTGGCTACCTACATACCTCGTGCTGGTCTATCTGCTCCACTCTGTGCAGGGAGTAGCACCTAGGCTTCTCCTCCCTGGTGAAGGATGGCAGGACTCCTATTCCTGCCAAGCTCAGCCAGGGGGGGCAAGCCAGCTCTCTCAGCTGGTGAACCCGAAGTGTGCTGGAGGGGGCCGTGGGGGATCGAGTGGATGCCGTGGGGAATCGAACCTGCGACCTCCGGAATGCCACTTGTGTGTGCTCCACCAACTGAGCTAGGCTTCTGGCCAACAATACCCCTTTTTAGTGCGTGCAAAGCACACTGGCACCAAATGGAACAGAAAAAGAAGTGCAGCTTCTGATTGCCATTTATTCTCAGTGCCTCTGCGCCAAATAGAACAGCAATCACGAATCAGGTGAGAACTCAGGTTTCCCCATATACTGCTACGTTTCTGTGTCCTCTTTCTTTCATCTCGTCACTCAGCAATACATTTGCTGTCGATCAAATGAGTTTGTATTTTTCATCAAATTTTCAATTCTGCAGCCTCATTTGTCTTCGCTCCCAAATATCGGATCATCATCAATACTCCTTTCGTCACACGGGTGGAGCCCCTAAGAGTTTGGCTTTTGTTGCATAACGCAGTGAGAGCACTTCATGTTTCAGCTTGAAGCCTGCTAGGAGCTACCTATCCTTGTTTTAGATGTAGAGAATTGAAAGGACCACTGCCTGCGTTCTCCCAGTTACAATGGAGGAAAACCTTTGCGGGGTGGGGTGGACAGAGAGTGGGAGGGGGAGGAGTTTGTGTTTTCTTGTGAAGCGAAACAGAACTATGCTGATGCTTAACAGTAGTGAAATGAACTGATTTGTGGATGGTTATATTGGAATGCTTGGACCATCATGATGGCATCCATCTGTGCTGTACTTTCTTCATTTTGCAGGTGTCAGACAACAACGTTAGATTTATGTCACTGGCATATGCAGGAGGAGCATATCAGTATGTGCTGAGCATGCTCCAGACAGAGCCCTTTCACGAACCAGAGGTGAGCAGTGGAGGGGATGGCTTTGGACCCCAGCTCGTTCATTATCTTCAACTACCGTCTTCACCCGAGAAGAACGCCCGGTCATTTTTAGCTGTATTTGGTGCAACTCTTAGTCCAGATATGGTGATAACGATTGGGCATTCTATTCAGGTCAAGACGGTAGTTAAACTACTGACAGGTCGACCTTACTAGTCATCTGGTAGGCGTTGTCACGGTTCAGCGCATCTGCTGTTTGTCCACTTGCATTTGAGGAAAGGGGATGGGCAACCAATTTGTCGAAGAACACAGTGACAATGACAAAACGTGTTTCTGTTTGATTTGTTTCTTAGTAACAGAGTTCGACAAATTGCCAATGATTCAGTCACTTTTCACAACTCACCGGTTCCAGTCATGGTCGGGGAATGTGACAGACATTGACATGTAGGATATATTTTGTTGCTGTTCTGTTGAAAACTGGATGCATTCCGTGTGAGGGTGCATTTTGTGTGTGTGCGGTTGAGTTCAGCCTTGGGCTTGTGGACCTGGTTGCCCCAGTACCTTGCCGGGTTGGGCTTCTCAGCCTTTGCCATCGTGGAGAATTTGTCAGTCTACCTGGGACGCTGGGCTGCAGACTGACTCGACAGGACTGGACTGAACCCATCTAGCTAACTGGAACCTATGCCACCGGAATTCTATGCCACCGGATAGACCAACTACTGGACTCCTTCGACCCTTCGACGCTACAGTGCCAGCGTACGAAGGCTGTGGGTTCCTTGCACTCTGAGATCTTTTGTATTGGAAGCAAATCAATCTTCCCACCGGACATAACCCTGCGACCATCTCATGTGGCAAATAGCAATTCCAGAGTGGAGAACTTGAGAAGGGGGGGTGGGGGAGAATCTGCTCTCCCTACTAGAAACTTTCACCAGTGCACAAGTAGTGTGTGCCAAGCTGTCTGAGGTGGGTTCATGAGGGTCATTGATTTGAGGCTTTCAACAGCTATAATGCTGTTTTGTAGGTTTTTGGCGTTTGCAATCAAGTGCACCATTTTGCGTGTCATCGTTGTGTGCGCATAATCCAAAGTCCTGTATAGGAATCCAACTGTGCTGTCTCGGTCAAAACTAAGTATATGGCTGGCTGCATCTGCCAAGGCATGATGACTTGGCTCACTGGTAAGGTGGGTGCTCAGAGATCGAGTACCCTGTATGGAAAAGAATGCTCACCTGCTAGCCCTCTCTGAAAAAACGAAAATGGTGGTTTGATATCATGCGGTCTCTGTTTTCAGTTTTTGAAGTTAAACATGGACCTAGTTTTCCTGCCCTGCCATACGGCTGATGGCTCCTTATGTGTGGGAGGGAGGGGGGGAGAGAGAGAGAGAGAGAGAGAGAGAGAGAGAGAGAGAGAGAGAGAGAGAGCAATGTCTGCATCTGGACAAACTGTTCTTCTCTTTGTGAGCTAAGCAGGTCGAGTAGGCTGATTTGGTTTAGGTTTTGTGTTGTGATTTTGACAGGGGAGCCACCGCCGTGTGCGGTTTTCATTGAACTTATGTGTTGTCTTTGTTCATGACTTTCTCAGAGGCGAGAGATAGTGATGTCTCGAGATATATCAGCATAATGAGGCCAGAGGTCCAGAAGCTGGTGGCTGAGAAAGTTGAGGACAAGATTGTTCAAATCCTTAAGAAGCATGTCACGTCAAGCCGGCCAAAACATGTGGTAAGTTGAAAGTAGAACTCGTACTTTCAATTGTAGAGGAGCCACTGCTCCCTGTGCTTGATCTTGCCGTGTATGTGAAGGCGTAAATGTTAACAGGTTCAGAGGCTATGGTGAAGAAGGTTTGCTGTTGTCTGGTTCTCAATAGTTATCTGTTTTAATGTTTTTCAAATGTGACGTTGCCAAACCGCCTGTGCTTTTTCGTCTCAGAGGCTCTGAGTTATAGATTGATTGACTGTCAATCGCTTTGTAGGTGTGGAAGAGAAGGAATTGGCTGTATGACAGTGAATCAGGGAAAAGTAGTTTGCTAGTTTGTATTGAGAACATTGGTCGTTTTATTTTGGCTGTATCACAGTGAATCAGGGAAAGGTAGTTTGTATTGAGAACGTTGGTCTTTTTTTTTTTTTTTTTTTTTTTTTTTTTTTTTTTTTAAGAACGTTGGTCATTTTTTTTTTGTAACAAATGTAAAAGTTCCATGGGTGGTGAATCGCGTATGACTTGGCATGGATGGCTGCCGACAAGCGAATTCGTTGATATGTGGGCTGAGGAGACAGGACGGGAGCAGGCGCTTCTTCTTGACATCCTGTTCCTCCTATATTATGACCCCAACCTAGTTCGATGTTCAGCTGCAAGGTTCAAAGAACTGGTTACCCTCTTTAAGGTGCGTACTGATGTGGGCTATTATTGCTCTCTCCTCCTTGTAGCTGTGCTGCTGGATCGGAAAAAAATGATTTTTCGTGTGTGTGATGGAGCGCGTGTTGGAAGCGAAAAGCAGTTCTTGGAAATTTCTAGATGAATAGGCAACCTGACGTTGTGTGGGTTTTCCTGACCATTGCTTTGATCTGGACACCGAGGTGGTCCGGCATATGGCAACATACCAGATGCACAGATGCTCATTGAGAATGAGTAAAGGGCAAAACATTATAAATTTTCAAAGATACTTAGAAAATATCAAGAGAACTTTGAAAAAGTGACGGTCATAATTTCAACAGACAGAACCCTCACCAGAGTCTGAGAAAAGTCTGAGGAATAGGCCAAAACATTGGAATAAATTCTTCTTGACCAAACCCAAATTTAGGCTGGCTTTGGAGGATCCTTTGGTGATTAAGCAGCTAGTGACTGGATGAATCAATCTTTTCTTTTCCTCGTTCTTCTAAGAATATAAATTACTATCGGATGTCCATTGATTTTGGACGTGTATTTTCTTGCACAACTCTTGGCCCTAGGCGTCGATGAAGGTTTACAGGCCGGAATGATTATCAAATGGTGAGAGCTGGAGGTTGAAATGTTTTGTATTCACAGCTTCCTGTCGCTCAGGAATCTGTCTGCTTGTCTCTTCTTTTTTTGGTATTTTAACTTAAGCTCGTGAGTTGTCAATAGGAGAGAGAGAGAGAGAGAGAGAGAGAGAGAGAGAGAGAGAGAGAGAGAGAGAGAGAGAGAGAGAGAGTTCGCCTGTCATTGCATGCAAGGTTTTCCTTCCCGACTTCAGCAACAACCACAAAACAGATGCCTGTTTTCCCCACCACCCCCGTGCCCCCTCCTCTGGCCCCTCTTTACATGTTGGCGTGCTGTAGCTCCCTGTCATTCTTTCTCTCCCCCTCGCTATGCATCGTACAGGAGAAAAATGTGCATGTGAGGTAAAAGCCGTCATCCATCAAGAGTACTTCAATGAATAACCAGGTGACCTCCAACCATGACAAGTGCACCACCGATCTTCTTTTCGTTTGTTAGCAAAGCCAAAATGGGTCATCTAGTGGTTCTTCCCCCCCCCCCCCCCCACACACACACACACAAGATCACCGAGTTCACCGGCCCCAGGTAATTCGGAAGTATGTCATTGCATTCATTAAGGTCTAACATGATTTGAACTTGGGTCTGTAAATCAACAGTTCATGAGTGTACCAACTGAGCTATGATTTTTTTTTTTCTTTTTCTTTTTTCTTTTTCCTTGAACATCCTCCTGTGGTTCTATGGAGCTCTCATCTTAAATAGTACAGTATCATGACAGTATGGCAAATTTGGCAAAACCTTTTATCAACAGCAAGTCATGCTGCATGCAGCTGAATGTGTCAGCTGAGGGTTCTGTGGAAGCAGCCTTCAAAGAGCTTAGTGAAGACCTTATTTTTTTAAAAACCGTTTTTATTTCCATCTAATGTTCATTGGAGTAGAATAAGCTCTTTGCGCACACATTGTAACGAGCGTGAGGCTGAGGGTGAGCCGAGGGAGAGGAAAGAGAGGGAGAGAGTGAGAGCACACACGCACTCACTCACTTGACACGACTGACTCGGACTGAGGATCGGACGCCGACACAGTGGCAAGTCACAAAGTCGAAGTCTTGGATTCCGAATGCCGAAACAGCAAGTCACACTGAGTACGAGTACAGC